TATGATTGCGACTTCAACTCGGAAGAATATGAGCTAGTCGTGTTAAAGATACTTTAAGGGACAGAAATTAAATTGAAATAAAATAAATATTTTTAATGTTATTCTATTAAAATTAAATATATAACAAAAGCAAATGAAGATGTAAAATTTAAATACTTTTATTTTTGCAGATTGTTAACAGTTGCAGCAAGCAACGAAGAAGAAAAAGAGAGGTGGATAGAAGATTTGAATATGGCTATAGTACAGATCGATGCATCAGATGCCAAAATGCCGTATTTAAGTTTAAAATCTTGTAGTAAGTAACTGTTAAGCAATATAAACTTAAAATTTCTGTACTGAGTGAAAGAATATTTTATCGTAGCTTCCTTTTTTAATAAAAGAATATTTCTTCTAATTTTTTTATACGAAAGTTCTAGGTTCAGCCGATGAAGTAGGAGATGGTGTAGGATTAGAAGTAGATCGAACTAGTTGCGGAGGAGCGAAGGCCTCACAACGTAGCAATACCGCAGTTCACGTTTGTTGGCATCGTAATACAAGTATTAGTTACAGTGATCAGTTACGAGCGTTTCAAGTACGTTAAAATTCTAAGTAATATTTATATATTATTGATACCTTATCAGGTATTATACGACGTACACATGGATATCCTACATAAAAAAAACTAACATTCATTACATGCATTGTTTTAGAACCAGCTTAGTGGATTTCTTCTACGGAAATTCAAGAATAGCAATGGTTGGCAAAAGCTTTGGGTTGTATTTACTAACTTCTGTTTATTCTTCTACAAATCTCATCAAGACGACTTCCCATTGGCTTGTTTGCCATTATTAGGATATGCTGTTTCTACACCATCGGAAAAAGATGGAATCAACAAGGACTTTGTATTTAAATTGCAATTCAAAAATCATGTATATTTCTTTCGAGCGGAAAGCGATTATACTTTTGGGAGGTGAATATACAGAATGTCTTTATAATTTTAAAAATCTAAAATTTAAAAGAAAAATACAACGATAGCTTTATATTTTCAGATGGATTGAAGTCATTCGAAGTGCAACTCAACAAAGTCATATGCCTGTTGGTATGAATGGAAAAGAAGAGTATTAGAAATAAAAAAAGTCTACATGGATATACAATTACCGAATTAAATATTAAGATTAGAAATAGTTAAGATTATAGAATCCTGTTACAAAGTATAGTTTAAAAATGATATACAACAAAAAAGTCTAAATTTTTGGCCTTATATATAAAATCAAAAGAGAGTTATAATTGGTGATATCTTAGATGTTATATATAATATAAATTTTGATTGTGTATATAGTTTTCTGGAAGAACAACTTATCTTTATTTACATATGTTTTTTTTCTTAAGCTATTCTATTATTTTGCTAGTAATATATTGCAAGCATTTACTTAAAACTGAAATATTTAATCATGAGTTTGGAGTACTATATTTTCTGACTTAAGTCATTCTTCCAAAGAACTTCACAATTTTGAAGATAATTAAAAATTGTTATGCAAGTATATAAAATATAACGACAAAGATAGTATAGAAAATTATTTAGATTTTAAAAAATATAGAAAGATTTTTTTTATAAGTCACAAGACTTTTTGATATGTGATTTATGCTTTTAATATAAAATTTTAAAATGGCATTAAAATGTATATATATGTATAAGTGACAAGAATCTCAATATTAAGTCACAAATTTATATAAAAAAATGTTATTCATAGAAAGAGAAAGAGATAGAGCTCTATATATATATAAATATGTAAATATAAAATTTGCACATATATTAAATGTATATTCGCGTTTATACGAGTTTTTTAATAAAGCTTTTTTTATATCTGTTTTTTATTGAGTAATAATCGAGCGAGCAGGTTGCAATAGAATAGCACAGCAATATAATATTAATTTATTTTATATTATATAA